CCTGGAGAGCATTGTAGCCCAGGCGTTTGATTCGTGGCAGGACTTCTTTAAACTCCAAGTACCTTGGTCATTGTAGGTTAAAGTCAAGTGACCTCTTGAAGCTCATCAAAGTCCCAAAAAAGGTACATTGATAATTCAAATCGTATTGAAGACATTGGAAGACTACACTAAGGGCTGGATGATGACAATGTGACAAAGTTTATCTTGGCAAGAAGCGTGTGGGTTCGCTCTTCCGTACCTGCGATGCCTGTGGGCACCAAAGCCCTTTCAGTTCAGCTTGAACAGTTCAGCAAGCTTGCTGCAACTATCCAGTCCTGCCTAGGTAAACCTCGTAGATTTTCAAATTCGCGGGTCGCTCAGGCCTACAAGTGACGGAAAACTGCTGTGCTTGCAGGACTTGGCAAGTTGTTGTGGTAAACAAGAACCCAGAATCAGAAGATATACTGTATAGATTCATAGATTCTGGGATTTGGTGGTCTCGCAGGTTGTACGCTGGTATTATCATTGAATTGATTTGTCATGCTTCAAAGAACACCAGCCTCTTGTGTCGCATCACGTAGCGCTCTGAGGGTTGCGGTTCCCACATCACCCCGTTGAAGACATTCACATCCGGGTTCTGTCAGGAGCGCTCAATTCGTCGACAACCATTAGAAAGCTACAAAACGTTCTTCATTGTCTACCATTATCATGAAGCTTTCTGCTTCTCCCTTCGTCTGACTTCTGAACCTTACTTCGTATGTTACTCGTGTTTGGTACCTGCCATGCCAACTTGGCCCAGGCAGGGACGCGCTCCACCGTCCCAAACTGCGTCTGTACTCTCACACCTGGACAGGCAGGCTTGTTCACATCTCAACCACACCGCACATGAAAGAAACTGCATTACTACGTGTATATATTTCAGATGTAGAGTCTTTGAAAAGGCTCCACAAAACTCAAGAAACACAGCTTAAAGCAGCTGTGCACAGTCGTTATAGAACTTATCAAAATATCAACGGTGAAGCCAACGGAGAAGAAGGATTACGCAAACCCCAATGAGGCTGCTTTGCGCTTCACCAAGGAGCGGACGAAATTGGGACCTGCGGCTAGCAACGATGAGGGCTGCATCTGAAAATTGTGGATGAGAGGCGGCAGTAAACTAGTATCAGGATCTGTCGCCAGTAACTCGCACTCTCTCAACTTAACAATGCCATTTGTAAATTTCAGCAAGCAAACGCCGCGCTGCACCCTCGCACCATTTCAAGACTCTGCTGTCCCAAATCAAATGTAGCACCAGGCCTATGGGGCACAACCCATTTGCCATCTCCGTTGTCGGGCAAGTCAATACTCCAGCGGCCAAATTCACCTGGCTGGCAGTGTATCTGTATCAGTGTAACCTCTACGGAGTCCAAGTGACCTGAGTCGTATGTCTCGCACTAAACCAGTTCACTGCTCCCTAATTATCCTTCTTCTCATTCCACACCCTTGTCGCCTTCTTCTCCTTCTATTCCCCATTAACCCTCTATTCTAGGGATGCTGCATACTGTATGCTCTTCTAGCATGACTTTCACTTGTTTGTGTGAGTTCTGCTTTGAATTCTGCTGGATGCCTAGCGCTGCTACTACAGTCGTTCACTGTGGTGCGTGTTTGCTCCACTTCCCTGGCTCGCTACTTCCGCTGCCGCTGTTCTTATCACTATCGTTGCCGCCGTTGCCAATGAGGACACGGCACGACTAGGACTATATACCACCACCCCTCACGCCCTATATACCTGAGTTTCACAGCCTCTAGAGGGAGTGCAAACACATCCTTTTTTCAGACCTTCGTAATGTGCTTCAAACACACTGCAGCAGGCCTGGCTTCAAGGGATGCGTATTCTCCTTGACAATTGGTGAGCGAAAAGTTCAAAACATACAGCAGTAGTAGTTTGCTTGAGCCGAGAGTCCCAATTGTTGAAGTCGCCGATCAGAAACGCTTTTCGCGCTTCTGGGAGCCACTCTGTGAAAGTCCATTTCTGCTCTGACTCATGCCTGATACTTGGCGAACATCAAAATCCCTAATGCACCTGCTAATTGCCAATAACGCCCTTCTGTGGGCCTCTGAAATCCGAAGGTCTTGTACCCTTCAGCAAATTTGTCCATTCCACCCTCATTCTTCCTGAACCTTGGTCCACAATATTCTAGAATCAAATACAGTGCAACGCCGGGGTCAATGTAAATCCAAGCCATGCGCTGTTCTTTCCAACCACGGAAGGCATTGATGCGGTTCATGATGACAGATTCCTCTGCAGAATTGAGTCACTGCTACGTGGGTCTATGCCGCATAGGTGCCAAGAAATGATTGTTTCGATAGGCAAAGGCCCCAGCATGCCAGCAAAGGCGAGGATCATCCTTGAAAATTGGCAACATCGTCCTGCTCAAGTTAACAGAGTCAATGTCAATCTGATATATTTAGGGCACAACAACACACAAACCCATTAGTCTCATGTCACCTGTCCTGGATGGACCTTGCTCTCGCTTACTGCAAGCGCACTTTCAATGGCAAGCCTCAAAGTGAAATGGTTACATGGGATGAGCTATGGTGAACTTATAAATTAAAATAAATTAAACCCTTTTGAAATTGATCAGGTTCCGTGTGGGCCTGCGCAACGAAAAATTGTTTGCGAGGAAGGCCTGGGGTCATATGTTTTTGCTGTTTATGTTGGTGTTATATTATATAGTGCGATATAGTGAGTAAGGTGTGTCGGCACACACGTTCAAACAATGGCGATGCGTCTGCAACAATTGGAACTTCATAACCCGCAAGTGCTCAAACAGTTCTACGTGTCGCATAATGATACCACTTTGTCCATCTAACATGTTGAGTTCGACTGGAACACAAATTGACACAAAGCGCAAACAACAACAAACACATCTGAACCCAAAAGGCGCAACGTTGCGGTGCTGCGTCGCGTTTGCTAATGGGGTTGAAGTTCATGCGAAGCAGACGGAAACACGTCTCAAAATGGTGACATTTTGCAAAATACTGAGAACACTTGTTTAAAGAAACAAAGCTGAGCGGAAATCCAACATGCTGAGGGCAAGGCTCACAGTGCACAGCAAGAATTCGAAGTTAGGACAGTCCACCTCTGGCCCGCAGAATTTTTGCAATTAATTTAGCTGATCCTGTTTGTAAAATATTCTGGCTGTATCAGCTCTTGTGAAAGCGCCATTGTTCATCTTTTTCATTCAAGCTTAAGCCTGAATCAGCCCGTGGATAAATCACAACTGCGACTGTCCCAACACTTGCACACGTCGGTGTTCTTGTTGCACAGCATCCACATGGCAGATTGTTTTTTGGAGTGTTCTTGCGCACAAGCCACTGCACGTGCTTTTTATGTGAGATTAGCCCTGGTGACTCCAGTCTGGTGCCAGCAAGCTTCTGGCTCGAACGCCTTGGCTTTCTTTGGGCCTTGGGCCGGCTCTTGCGTACAAGCCATGCATGACGCCATACGACGCCGATTACGCCGTCGACGGTGCTGCCAATGCAGTCTTGTGACGCACTTTCCTGTGTATATTCTTGCGCGAAAATAATGGTCTGCTTGCGCAGTGAGAGCAGGCAGCAACCCCGAAGGGCGGCCGGTGAGAAGTCATGCCAGGCTTCATTGTCACACATGTGATGCTGAAGTCAGCAATCCTCACTACAGAGATGGCCACTGGAAAGTTTACGTTCTGCAAAGCCACTTCCTCTTTTACATTTACTTCGTGGTCCCTGCCTCATCGGCCTCCTTTGGTCCGCCTTTTCCAAAACACCTCGCCTGCCCAGCCCTAAGCCTTGACTTCAAGGAGGCTTGCGTCTGCCTGTCTTCGTCCTCTTGGTGGCTCCGGCACCTTGTGCGTTTTGCGGAAGGAGCAGGGCCCCGCGCCGCAGGCTGTTGGCCACGACCCTTTCAGGGCGGCGACAGAATCGTTTTGTGGAGGCGCTGGCAGCAAGGCCTTTCAGCAACTCGTTCCAAAAACTTCGGAAAAACTTGCGCCGCAACACTGGAACGGCGGTCTGAAAGCGCCAGTGAGGAGCTGCCGGTGCAGCCGAAGCGGTAATTGAATCATGCGGCCACCAACCACCAAAAGACCACACAAGGCAGTCGAGCTGGTGGGCTGTGCGTGAGGGGCACCGAGCCTTGCAAGGCACTCGCGTGGGTGACCAGCCACGTACAATATATATATATATACAATTTTCCAAGATTCTGCATTCACATGCATTCACAAAGTCAAGAACTACAAGCATTGCAGGAGCTTCGCAAAGTACACATTTGAAACCCTTCTTGAAAGCCTTACCTCTAAAATGATCCAACAAAATCCAACAAAACACCCTCTTCCATGTTTCCTAACCTTTCAAATTTCAAACATATACAATTGCACAGCGGCCTTTGTCGAGATCTTTGCGATAAACGTCCTTCGGTTTGGTACTCGAGATTCTCCTCTTCGGGATCCAAGTACGGTGGAACCAACTGGCATGTTCGTGTGCGGGACAAAAGGCAGATAAAGAACCACATGTGTGAACGCAAATAGAGTTATTGGAACAATCACCACATTTCACTAAGTTCAGTTTGTATTGTTCAGTGTTCGGGAAGGCAAAAGTGCACAAGAACCTCTCTCGTCTCAATCTGTCAAAAAATGTAATGTCGAATTGGACTGACTAAAGTCTCAGTCTCGTGCAAGGCACGCAGGTGCCATTACAAGCTCGCCTATGGGCATACTATGCACCCAGTGAAATTAAATCAGGGTACACAAACTATGCCCCAATGAATGTGAAAAGCGCGCCCCCTTTGAGGCAAATGACGCCTCCAAGAGCAAACAGAGTGGAGAAAAGCGCCGAAGCTTGATGGGATCTCAAACTCTGTCCCGGCGGAATGGCAGCATCCACTTTGGGATTTGCATAGAAATAATACTATGCAATGCTCTCCCAGCCTACGTATGTGCATAATTGCTGATACCAGCACACCGTATTGCAGTTCAGCATACAGAAAATAATCCTGTCAAATTCCTGGACAAAAGGGCATAAACGTGGTATCAACACAAGGCGCAGTGAGCTTGCACTGCGTCACCGCAATTGTTGCCTGCCTGGCTGTGCGGTAGACTCTATGACAATGAATTGCCCTAGGGCACTGTGCGGGACTTCCTCCAGTCCAGTCTTTGCTTTGTCGTCAAACATGGAAGGAACCTTGGAGTACTCATATATATATATACATCTTGGAGGAACACCCTGAATCACCGAATGGCTCTCTCGGACAACATACACAAAGGCGCAAAGGTTTTCTGGAGCACTAGCTCGCAGCCAAATCATTGTCAAGTGTCCAGTCAATTTGACGCTCGTACTCATCAATCGCCTCCGCGAAGGGTCGCCAAAGCTATTCAAGCATCGGAAATGAATGCTTGGGCCAGGTTGGGGTATCCCTGGGCACAATAATGAAGTCTGAAATGCCGTGCTTTCTCTATGGCCTTGCATGCAAAGCATGTTGGGCACAAACAAATTGCAATGCATTGCCATGCATTCATTCGAATGCGGTTAACCTTGCCTGTGGCCAGTAGTAGTTTGTCCGCAAGCCTGGCAATGTGGCTTGCTCTCACAGCTTGCACGAAAGTGAAGGAGGGGCTTACTGACTACTGACGAGGAAGGGACGAGCGCGAAAGAATTGGAATGTCTACAAGGGAAAGACTGACAAGAACTAGGTCAGCAACAATGCCGTAAGCACTGTAGATCTTTTTTGATGTCATTCCCACACCAATACATCGGATCATTGGGCAAGAAGCTGAAATTTTCATGTGGACACTGCAAGCTCCGAGGTGAGTCAAGCTTTGATTTGGCTACAAAGCCAGCTCTAGTCTTGAACTAATTTGGGTGCGCTGGGTCGGTGTTGAACAACAAGCTAAGTGAGTCCAGCAACTCGATGTATCTAGGTCATGGATCAGCAAAGCGCTCAGAAAGCTAAGCCTGCTAAGCCTTCAGTTGTGGCCATGGGGAGTGGTTAGTGTGAGCTAGCCAGGTCAGACAAAAAGCCAGTTGAGCTTGAGCTCGCTAGACGGAGACGACTAATAGCTAAGGCAGCTAAGGTGAGCTAGAGCCAGCTGAGTCGGCTCAGAGTTGCTGGACTGGGCTATACTGTATTATTTATATACTAAAAAAAATGAAACAATGGCCTGATTAACCTGGTGAGCTGAATTGTGGTGCTTTGTGTGGCTTTGGGTTTGTTTGTGCTGAGTAGATCTGTCGTGATTTCCGGTGATTTATGTGGCTAGTCTGTTATGATGATTTGCGGTGATGCGGCTCCATTCGTGACTTCTTTGCAATGTGTGCTAGATTTGTCGGACTTGTACAACTTCATGCAGGGACCATGCCTTGAGTTGGCCCCGCAACTGTAGTGAGACCACAGCACACCAGGACAGTCCAAACACTGCCTGTGTCGTCTTCTGATTTCGCACATGCATTCTGTCCATCTCTGTCTGATATCCTGTTTCACGCGTCTTTCAATATCATTTTATGTTCTCATTTTATGTAGAGCAGCAACGGGTCTGTAGAAACTTGCTACTGATAGATATGTTTGATTGGATTTTGTCATCCTCACCCTGTGCAAGTGTCACTTAGACGTGGACAGCTTTATGCTCTTTGTGTCGCAGCGCATATATATATATATATGTAGAGAGAGAGGTTGAAACGTAACTGACATGTTTTGAGGCTTAACTTCGCAACTCTAAAAAGCCTGCAAAAAAATATCTTGCAAAGCTGCTCGGAAGGTAAATTAGTGAATACATGTGAATACAAACATCTAAGCCTATCTGAATTCGCCACGCTTGGTCCCGTACCATTCATCTGGATTTGCTTAAAAAGGTCCTGCTTCTTGTGGTAGACTTCAAGTGCCTGGATCCAAGCCACAAGCAATGCAATGTGGACATGTGAGCGTCGGACGATATTACTTATTGCATCTTATTACTAACCCGCAAAGGACGTTTATAATTTGGGTGGGTCCCTATCGGTTTTCAGGTTTCGTATCGGTTTTGGGTGGGCCATCACCCATGCTAGAGGGTATCGGTTTTGGGTGGGCCCCTATCGGTTTTGCAGTCAAATCACCTTTTCAAAAACGATGTCCAGCCGAAGTACTCATGTGATTACAAAGGGTATGCCACAAAGAATCCGCGCGTGTATCAACTAGCCCCTACATGTTACAGAAGGTGGAACATAAGGTGGAAGAGCGATTGTTGGTTCTAAAACATCTGCGACTGCTTTAACTTCGTGTCTAAACAACAAATTGATTGCATGGTGAGTTCAACCGTAGATTTTGCACATGCAAACATGTATGATGAGTTCGCGAAACTCAAAACTAAGTTGCTATAATATCCGCTCTAGATATCTTATTCAAGTTCAAGGGCCTTCAGGTGTGGAACCCTGCGTTGTTCGGATCCATTTGTATAAAACGCAGGTCGTGGTGTGTGTGTGCCTCAAACTCACAAGTGTCAGCTGCTTAAGGTGATAAATTAGAATTTTTTTGAAATCCTGTATTTTTCTACATTTGTTTGCCTTCGTTGTTGTTCTGAACGCTGATATTTTTCTCAGCAAAAGCTGACGCTGATATTTTTCTCAGCAAGGGCTGAAGGAACTTCAAGGATTTGTGAAATCAATGTTTTTAACTGTATTGGTCCGCAGTTTCTGGGCAACGCTGCCCGAACCTATGCCTGGGAGTGTATAGTATACAGTATACCTGAGCATCCACAACGAAAGACCCTTCCTGGGTTGCACGATAGAATTCAAAACGACGTGAACGGCCCTATCTTCTGAAGAATGTGCTTTGTGAAGCTCAGTGTAAGGCCTTGCAATTCTTGCAAGTTTGGACCCAAACTTGCTTCAAGGCTTTTCGCAGCTGCTGTAGTTTATTCGTCGAGAATGTGCAGCGGAAGTGTGTGATGTGAGGGTTGAAAAAGGCGCCTGGGCTTGAACGGATGAACCTTGTTGGCTTCATAACGTTGGCAACAGACAGAGAGTGATCTCTGGTGGGCACCACCGGACCTCAACCGAGCGCTGGATCACAATAGACCGCAAGCCCTAGATGGCAGTGAGCACCGCCGCGCCTCAATCGCAAGCGCTGGATCGCAGTGGGCGCTGCGGGACATCAACTGCGAGCGCTAGCGCCGCTGGACCTCTATCAACTGCGAGCGCTAGATGGGAGTGGGCGCCGCCAGGCCTCAACTGCGAGCGCCAGATAGCAGTGGGCACCACCGGACCTCAACCGCGAGTGGGCGCCGGGCGCCGCCGGGCCTCAACCGGGCGGCGCCGGGCCTCGACCGCGAGCGTTAGATGGCAGTGGGCACCACCGGAAGGACATGAAGTAGATAGAACGCCAGAACATCTCCAGAAAGAATGCCAGAAGAACGCTGCAAGATAAGCCACATAGAATGCCAGAGTATGTTCCAGTTCCAGATAGAATGCCTCAATATATGTAGAACGCCAGAATGTATGCTGGATAGTATGCTAGAACATGTGCCAAATAGAATGCTATAGTCAGTATATGATATATGTGCAAGATAAACGCTTTCTTGGCGGTCTTGAATCAATAAGCAGAGTACAATGCCATGGTGGGGATCGCTCGAAGCAAAGCAATCTCTTTTGCCGGGAGCGTCAGCGAAAGGGTTCTTAAGGGTCTCTCTAGCTCTGCAAGCAGCAGATTGCTGCGCGCAGTTTGCAGGTCTGTCTTCTACAAGTACACCTGCAGCAGGTCGGCTCTCCTTGGCTGCTGCTTCAGATGTGGCTGCGCTACACTTGCTATGCTGGACGCGTTGCTGCTTGAGACGCATTCCTGCAGTTGCCCAAAGCAGTAGATTGCTGTGTGTTGCTGGACGCTGCTGCTTAGCTTGGCACTATAGTGGCGCATTGTCACCGGCGCGTGGCCAATATCTGACGTCACTTTCGCTGGCGAGTCTTGCTTCCGGGAAGCACGCCTGCAAAATACATCACGTATCACGTAACTTTCCCTCAACTCTTGCTTCAGCAATCGCTTCTGCTCACCTGCGCTGTCTTATGCAGTAAAGCATATCTGAGTGCGCGCACGCCTGTCACATCTTGGCTAATAATTCTTCCTTAGCTGGCGGCCTGGCCGGACAGGGCTTGCGAAACGTGATCCTCTGCGGGAACCGTGCGTCGGATGCTCAAACTCGAGGTGAAATGCGAACTTCCCGGTATGCTGGGTGAACCTGTCAGGATTGCAATTGTTGCGTGGGCGTGGTGGGGCCCTTTGCTGGGATCGTAAGCGTCGAGCGCTCAAGCGTGAGGTGAAACGCGAATTCATGCGAATTCTTTGTCATCGGTGAACGCTTTGCAGAGATCGTGCGCGTTGAGTTGCCAAGGTGTGTAACTGTGGTCGAAAATCAAGGCGCACCTGACCAGGCCAGATGGACAAAGTTGATCACAGGCCGCGCGCGCAGCTTGTGGGAGGCGTGGCCTGAGAACTGGGAGCTGTGGCGACTTTGTAGCACAAATGTGGGGAACGGGAAGCGGCTTCTGGGAGCTCGGCCTCAGAACTGGTAACTGGCAACTGTGTGGCAAAATTACGTCTGTGATGTTGCTGCGCTATGCTGTTTTGCATAGCCTCGGTGGAAAGTGCGTTTGCCCGGCCTCGGTGCCAAGTGTGTCTGGCATTGGGAAACACGCAGACGCAAACGCGGCGTGTTGCTGGTGAGGGGGATAAGTGGTTGTTTCGCAGAAGGATGCCCTGCAAGATTGTCACACAAGAATGCCTTACACGAGCGTCCCACAAGAGTGCCCTACAGCGTCCCACGACAAGAGCATCCTCTCAAAGAGTGTCACACAAGAGTCCAAACAAGTGTGTCTAATTATGTGTGTCTTACAGATTGTCCCACGAGGGTGTCCCACAATACTGTCCTAATTAGCTGGAAGACCACACGCCCCACTATATCACATCTACTTTGTCTTGGAATTAGCACCGTTGTGATCATGATCAGGACTATCACCATCATCACCATGACCGTCATCATCATCATCACCATCATCATCGTTGCCTTGTGTCAGCTCCGACTGTGCTTTCGGGCCACCCTGTATGCGGAGTACATCTGCAGCTTGCAGGTCTGCTCCTCTAGAGCTGCTGCTTCAGATGTGGCTGTACTACACTTGCTATTTTAGATATTCTAGATGTGCTGCTGCTTGATATGCATTCCTGCAGTTGCCGAATGAACCCTCTACGAGGATCCTGCATGTCGGATGCTCGGATCAAACGTGTTTTTGTTGCGACTCAAGCTGTGCTCGATGAACCCTCTGTGGGGATCGTGCATCTCAGATGCTCAAACGCATATATAGGTGTTTTTTGCGACTTGACAGCAACAGAACTCTTATGCATGTGTCTAAACTCTAAACACTCCCGGGCCATTCGTCGTTTTGGATAACTTTTGGTTCAGCTACTGGGAATGGGTATTGTCTTCTGTAGAACGCCAAAAGGCAAGTTGGACCAACCTGAAGCAGCAAACATATCACACAACACCAAGCGAGCATGCACGATCTGCAGAAAAAGGTTGAACAAATGCCGTGTTGCGCGTGTCGCATTTCGTAGGTGAGTGAGATGATGCACTACTATGACTATGATGCAACATGCCCAGTTCATCCACCTCCCTAAACTGACTTGACTTGCTAAAACATCCTGTCAGATATATAGTGAACTTGTGTGAGTAACACAAACCTCTTGACTCAACAAAGAACTTAACACATCGCCCAAGCCACCCGATCAGCAGGCTGAACAATGCCAGGTTTACTTGTGCTTGATGGAGCAGAATGTCTTAGAACAGGAAGTTGTCTTGAGAACCAAATAAGGAGGTTCAATTAAACCTTTGCTAGAAAACCGTGAAAGGGCTGGCAACCTCTGCTACAATAGTCAAATGGGCATGGTCAAACGGCCTCTAGGATCAGGCCGTGGCCAAAACAACTCCAAGATATATGTTGCATGAGTTTGTGTGCCGCACAAGCAATAAGCCCCCCAAAAAAGACACGTTGTATCTCAAAAACCACACAGAAATGTTGTCATAGGAGTGCATATGGCATTAGTGCGTGGGTCTGAGTAAGCGAGCCTGGCAATCAAACACAGCATACCAATGGATGTCCACTAGATCCTTTTGTACCAAGTTGGCAAGTGTCTTCCCTCGCCAGCCTGATACATGCGTTCCTTCAAATGATTCTCATCAAAGCCGCAGAACAGGAACCTTGGTTAACTGCACTTGAGCATCAAATGCGTTTGAACTGGCTGCACTCGGGGACTGCGCTTTAAGTCTTTGAGGCAAGGACCCTGTTGCAGTCTCCCGGTCTCTCTGCTCATCCCAGAGTCCCAAGACAGAATCCTTCAGGCCTCCAGTTTCGTGTACGACTGGCACCGTTCCATATGCTTGCGCATACATCTGGGGAAGGCCGCACGGCTCGTATTGGGATGGCATCAAAAGGAAGTCGCAACCTGCCAACATTCGGTGTTCAATCTTGGGATCAAATCCCACGTAGCCACATACCCTTCCCTTGTTGTGGTTCTCTGCATTCGACAACTGGGAGGCATAGGTGTCTTCACCTTTTCCCATAAGGATGACTTGAACGCGTCCCAGCACACCGCTTGCTTCGTAGGTCAGCAACCACGGAATGATCTGCGTAATGAGATGGACACCCTTTTGGTAGCACAATCGCCCGCAAAAGCCAATGAGAGCTGCACCTGGATCTTCGTGCAAGCCTAAGGATCGCTGCAGGTCCTTTTTGCATGCAGCTTTCCCTTCTTCAAAGGTCCTAAGGCCATAGTTCACTGGAATGTGGGGGTCTGTCTTCGGATTCCATTCATCTGCAATACCGTTGAGAATGCCAGCCATGCGATTTTGTCGGCCCTTGTCTTGCAGAATCTGATGCAGCCCTTGACCACCTTCTGGAGACTGGATCTCTGCGGCATAGTTTGGTGAGACTGTGAGGACCCTGTCGGACGCCAAACATGCAGCTGACAGCAAGTTCATGCAGTCATTGCCCAGGTTCAAGTCCTGAAGTCAAACTCTGCAACAGCACTTTCACTCAACAGAAATCTCAAGAAGATTGTCCTCACCCTGCAAGTATTCGACGGCCTCAAGCAAATCAGTGAACATAGCCAAGCAAGGGTGTGCGCATGATAGGCAGCTGGGCATCTTGTGGACCCGTTGGTTTTCTGCTGCAGTACATACATGACTTGGCTCATGCAACACTCAAAGCTTTCAAGTTAACCACGTTCACACCTCTGGTGGGAGTCCAAGATAGCTGTCGATGGGGAACTTGCTCAAACGGTACTTGCCCTGATCATGCCGGATGCTGAAAGAAAGGCTTCACTACGATGACCTTAAATGCTCTTCATCAAGGGGTTTCTGAGTGTTTTCCTTAAGCAAACACCTCGCCTGATAGCCGATGTTGTGGATCACAAACATGCACCTGGAGTTCCTGTAGGTGTTGTTCCGCCGGTACTTGTACAAATGATACACTGGCAACAACCCTGTCTGCCAGTCGTTCGCGATGAAGAGAACATCCTGCAATGATAAACCATGCCTTTTTGATCTGGTCAGCTCCTTTGTAGAAAGCATTCTTGTATATATATATATATTCCTTTTCACCTATAGTCTATGGTAGTCTATAGTTGCCTTGTTCTCTTAGTTCATGGTTCCGGTCCTGGCCAAAGGTGCTGCCCCTGATGTTCAAGATTAGTGGGGCTTCAAGTGCTGCCACCGTCAGGAGGGAGAAACGGAAGAGGTTGTCTGGGTATTCTTTGCCATCCTTGGGATCACAATACAAACCTCCACGAGAGAAGCACTCATGGCTCACAAAGATGTAGTCTGTGCCATTGCCATCACCAAGGTCTTGGTAAAGGTGGAAAAATTGCACTTCATGTTCCCTTCCGTCAAGCCAAACTTTTGTGTAGCCAATGTAGTGGGCACCATCATACGCAGCATAGCGCGGGGAGACCACCATGGTACGATGTCCCCTCATGGCAAACTCGTAGCCATAGGAACCGGCCACCATTGCAAGACCGCCAGTCTTTGACCAAGGATTCACTTCTGATGAGACAACTACCACAGGCCTGGACAAGTGGTGGCTGGTGTACTTTGGTCTTTTGTCCTCAAGTTCATCAAGCTCCAATTGATGTCGTAGTTCTGCTTTGCCTTCTGGATCTTGGAGAAGCGAATCCAAGGCTGACAGGGAAAAGACTCGTTCCATGTAGTCTGGCCCAGAATCAGAGTTGGCATCAGAGACTGCCTGCACTGCAGTGCGGTTTTTGGAATGTTTAAAGACGTCTGCTGTCTGCTTTGACATTATGTTGTGTCATTGTGTCACCTCTAAACAGCATTGAATGAGGGGTGGTGTTAGCTGACATACTTAGGTGTTGACGTAGTCTCTCACTGTGCCTTCGTCTTGGGGGTCTGCGTCCCAGATGTTGGTGTCGTGTGTCCCTGCACACGCTTGTCACATCGATCATGTGAGCTGAAACAAAACAACAAAACCCACGAAAAGGATGCACGAAGCAGAAGCAATGCTAAGCCTACGGAATTCCCATGTGCAGGGCCAACCCTCCAACATAAACTGTTTGGGGTTGACAGCTCCATCGCTTTGTATGTCATATGTTGGTCTATAGATTCTTTAGCCTGTTGATTGTTCTGTAAGAGTTATCTCAAGTCTCAACTTCCCCTTTTTTTGCACGGTGAATCGCAAAAATGCAACTTAGTGAAATTTGACCTTCATGGAACTTGTTTTGCATGTTGCTTGATCTGCTGCCTCCTTGCTGTCTTTGTCCTCGGCCAGTCAAGACCAAAAACTTAAACGACCCTGGGCACTAAAACCAACACTTCAAAAAGGGCCTTTGCAGCTCTATGCGGGCAAGCAACTGTTTGCTGCACCTCAAAATCAAACTACAATGGTCATTATTTATATAGTTATCTCTCTGTCTATAGTATATGTATATATATTGTGGATATCTACACATACGTGTGATACATACATTTACATGTGCGTGATATACACAAGCTAATGTAAACATTACATTTATGAACCATGAGACAATAATAATCATTTTTTGGCCTGCCAGGATTTTGAAATACTGCTTTTAATTGCGCCAACATCCAGACCCCAAAATGGATAACAAATTGTTTTCTGAATGTTCTCTCTTTTCATTGTGTTTCTTTTCATTCTGCTTTCGTTTGCTTTTATTGTGTCTCAGAAGCTTTAGGTTTCCTTATGCAAGCCCTATCAAACACATAAAGAAATATCTTCAAAGAGTACCTCTTTAGACTCCTACCCCCTCCAATTATAAGCCAACCTACAATAATCAACCCCCTGCAGACCTGCTGGCTTATCCTTGCCTTGTGCTTTCCCTTTTGCTTTTAACTTCTCCTGCTGTCTTCTTTTTTCCAACCTGTCAGGTGAGGGTTGTTAGATTTTATGTCAGCCCCATCTCCTTCCTTCTCCTTCTTCTCCTCTTTCTCCTCCTCGTCCTCCTCCGCCGGACCTCAACCACGACCATCCACGCCCAGTGTTCCCTGCCGGACCTCAACCACGACCATCCACGCCCAGCATTCCCTGCCGGACCTCAACCACGACCACCCATGCCCAGTCTTCCCTGACAGACCTCAACCGCGACCATCCGCGCCCAGTGTTCCCTGCCGGGCCTCAACCACGACCGTCCGCGCCCAGTGTTCCCTGCCGGACATCAACCGCGACCATCCGTGCCGGACCTCAACCGCGAGCTCCAGGCCCAAGTGTTCCCTGCCGGACCTCAACCACAGCACACAACCACAACCACAATCACAAACACACAACCACAAACACACAACCACAAACACACAACCACAAACACACAACCACAAACACAAACACACAACCACAAACACACAACCACAAAAACGCAACCACAACCCCACACACAACCACAACCACAAACGCAACCACAAACACACAACCACAAACACACAACCGCAACCACAAACACACAACCGCACCCACAAACACACAACCACAAACACACAACCACAAACACACAACCACAAACGCAACCACAAACACACAACCACAAAGACACAAGCGCTAACACACAACCACAACAACAAACACACAACCACAAACACACAACCGCAACCACAACCACAAACACACAACCACAAACACACAACCGCAACCACAAACACAAACACACAATCACAAACGCACAACCACAAATACACAATCAAAAAGACACAACCACAACGACAACCACAACTACAAACACACAACCACAAAGACACAACCACAACGACAACCGCAACTACAAACACACAATCGCAACCACTACCAGTACCGCAAACACAATCATTAACGCACAGCCACAAACACAATCACAAACACACATCCACAAACACAACCGCAAACACATCCACAAACGCACAATCACAAACACACAGCCACAAACACACAATGACAACCACAACCACAACACGGCACACAACCACAACCACATAACCACAGCACACAACCCGAGGACCCGCAAGCAAAATCGAGAACTACAATACTCACGACCATGGCGACATGCTCCTCACTATATGGCACCAAGACAAATGATTGAAATGTCGTGGCGGGGATCACTCGAAGTAAAATAATTTGTGTCTCCAAACATCAATCCAAAACAGCAACGGGGAAAAGCGCTCTCCGAGCGGTGGCAATGTCTGTCTTTACAGGTCTGTCTGTATGTAGACCACCCTGTTCCAGGGCTTCGCCTGGGGTACACTGGGTGGCATTCGCTGTAAAGCAGACAGACACCGGGCGTCCGTCAAGGACCCATGGGACGTCATGGAGTATTCCCACACAGTGCGCGAAGCTACTGGGGAATGGGTCGCCTACACTAGACGAGAGAAAGTAAGGCCCTCAGTAGCAGTAGATCTCCTTGAGGACCCAGTTCATGAGGGTGAATTCAGAAAGAATGGCCATTGCATCCAGGTAGTACTCGGGGTCAAAGTCCGTCGGATTTGGATGGGTAAGTTCATCCGCCCATTGGTTGAGGTCACGTTTGACGTGGCTGGGGGCGAGCTGTGCCCCTCCTTTGTGAAGAGTCAGGACAATCTGCATCATTATGGCCGCCGTCGGCATCTGTCGTGTCTTGTTGTTGAGCACGCTGAAGACGTTCCCCTGGTTGTCCGTGATGACTGGGATCTTGACCGCCAGTTGGTGACGTTCCCCCATTCGCAGGATGAAAGCAATAAGGATGAGCGATCCAAGGAGTTCCAAAGCTGGGATCATAGAGCTCGCAGCCTTGGACTTGAGAAGCCACGGAAAGGCTGTTTCCGTAAGATGGAGATGAAACCAATAAACTGAACGTTTCGAAGGAGTAGGTTCAGGAGAGAGCCAGCCAACCCCCAATGTAGAATTCTTTCTGTGTGGTTGCACTGGCATCGCTAACTCCATGCCGCGGGGACCACGGAGCAAAGGGCGTTGGCCGAACATATGCGTTCTGGAACAGGAGCTTCAGCATCTGGGCGAAAACACGGACGAGGTGATTTGGTTTGCCCGAAGATCTGACGGTGCCCTTCCACTGCCATAAAGGCTGGAGAAGGGTTGGTTAGGGGACACGCACTAGTGGCCCATTGTAGTCTGCCCATACCCTTCTCAATGTCTTTCAGAGTGAAGGTTTCACCCGCCGCGAGTTTGAAGAACAAGGGTGTATTTGTCTTTAGCCATTTGCACAATGGGGCCTCCTGGATCAATCACGAAGCCCAGCCAAGTGTTGACTGGACTGAGGATGGTTTTCTTCCAACTAAGGGGGGTGCCGAGGGAGAGGAGCACCACAAGAAGAGCTGTGGAGTGTTCCACCACATGTGAGCCTCGCAGGAGCCATGCGAAGTTGTCGACAAACACAAAGCCCCAGGTCAATCTCCGGGAAGACTGCGTATATGATCCTCAAGAACAGTGCCGCCATCCGACCCCAGTATATAAAGTTGGGCGCTGGCCATTCCATATGTGCCCACCATGTTGACCCACCATTCATCACCAATGTGAGCAATCTGGTACTTCCAGTCTCTTGGGGTTGGATTTTGATCCATCTGTGCGCCTTGGTGACATCGGCTTTGAGGAGTTGCCAGTGTGTGCCAGGTCTGCTGAACTGTGGTTGCGCCTCCCTGTCAGGGGTGGTAGATTCTCAAGGACGGGTTCTTCAAGGGTTGGCAATGATGGATCTCCTCCTTGCCCGGGCCAACTAAGATATGGCGAACTTCACGTAGCAGGTCGTCAAAAAAGGATGCTTTTTCGCTCCTCCTTGGGCAGTCGATCGTTGGAAATCCTTATGGTGAAGCACCTTGGTAAAGATCGTGCGACCCTTAGCAGTGAGGGCGGATGGAGGTCGGAGAGGGGAGGACTCTGAACCTGAGTGGGACCCGCGTGACTGGTCTATCATGCATGGGTGATCTGCTTTGTCTCCTTGCGAGTGAGAGACTCGTTCTCCCGGGACGCACTGCAGGCGGAGTTGGGGTTCTCAGGTTTGTCCCTGCCTTGGGAGGGCGTCCTCCCATAGTCCTCATCGTGTTTTCCCCTGCGGGGGTGCCTTGGTGAAGGCGTTTCGTTTACAGAAGAGGACAATCCCTCCCAAAAAGCACCGCAGGCGGAGGTGGGGTTCTGAGGTTTGTCCCCTTCGTTTGGAAGGCTTCCTCCTGCGCTAGCATGAGCGCTCGCTTTCTTCCAGGACGCGCCGCAGGCGGAGTCAGACCCAGGCTCATGGGTCTTTAGACGGACTATAGGTAGGCAGCGCGGCCTCCCAGGCAGGTCTGGATTGGGTTTGTCCGCATGGGAACCAGCTGTGGTGGATTCCTTCCACTGGGGTTGCACAACCCCGTCGCTTGACTGAGGTGGGCCTCAGCTGAGGCTTGTTGGGATGTTGGCTTCGCTCGAAGCCCCTTACTCGATATCAGTGCTCTGCAGGGCAGGGTTGTGTGGGGGGTTCTTGGGTATCTACTCAAGTCTGAGGACGTGACAACCTCTCTTTGCTGATGAGCCCCAGGATCGTGGTCGCAGCAAAGACCATGGTGTAGCCCGAGGTTGATGGAGAGAGTGGTTGATTTCTTCACCACTTGGCCCAACCGACGCTGGTCGAAGGTAATGAGTGTGTTCCCCAGGAGTCGGCGCCACTCCCCAAGCGCCTTTGTGGCCCAAATGGAACTGCACTTCCAGGCGCTCGGTGCCGTGCTGGTTTTCTTCGGGTCCACCGGGTGTTCCAAGGATTGTGGAAGATGGCACCGTCTACGCCCAAGGTGCGCAAGGTGGGTGATGACCATCTGGGGGAGGAGCAACACACTGTCATTGGTTGCCCCAACACCAGGGTTCCTTCCATCCACGCACAGGTGGGGGAGCACTTGCTTTCGGTATCCAACGGAGAATACTCCTCCACCAGCGCCTGCAATCTGCTCAGCCAGGGCCCGATGGCACCTCTTTCCCCTCACGGAGGACATCGAGCGCGACCACCTTCGGAGACAGCTCGGCGGGAAGATTGTCCCGGATACAGGCGTCCAGCGGTCTCATCGTCCCGGCCCGATGTCCTTGCGAGGCGGGATGTGTGAGTGCCCCTTTTGCCAGCGGAGCCTCCCTGGAGGTGAGCCGGTACAAAGAGGCCAAACCGCTTGGAAAACCATCAAAGGGCGACCCAAATCCATTGGATCTTGTGCGGGGTGGCCTCGATGTCACGGAGCTTGTTGCAGCAGGGCTCGAACTGCCGCCTCGTCCGCAAATCTGGGTGAATCCCATTCCGTTGGAGCTCCTTGAGACCCAAGCAATGGATACGGAGTGTCCTGAAGCGGGTGTCGCCCAGCAGGTCAAGGTACTCCTGAAAGGTGTCCGGCCCTTGAATAGGTCGGAGGCGCGGGATGTCATTGGCAAAGGGTGTGAT